TTGGCTGGTTATGCGAAGATGCTGGGGTTGGCGAGATATTGCTCATGGTCTCACGTAAACGTTGAAGGAATGTTGGAGGGTCGATAACTGGAGTAGATAATTCACCTGGCAGACGGAGGGTTGCACCATATAACATTTCAGCACAAGTGCTACCAATGTCTTCTTTGAATGCACTTCTTTATTGCACGACTGGCGAAGTCAGCGAAACGGAACAGATCACATTGATGATTTGCTGAAGCTCCTTGCGATGATATGCACGACTTTGAAAAAAACACAAGCAATATATATCAATACTTCTAGAAATAATTGAAGGGGTACGTTGTAGCATACGTTTAATGTCCATATTCGTTGTTATATTTAGTCAGTTCTTCAGAATGCCTTGGATGCACGTGGCTTAGGGTCGTTGAAAATCCATTGTCAGTAGCGTGCTCAGTCAAAAGGTCACCACTTTTGGTGGTCGTGTGCTTAATGCATGATATAATTAAAGAAAATAAGAGTAGACAATCTCCTATAACAAAAGAATATATTAAGTACTAAATTACAATTTAAATTACATTGCAGAGATCAACGCAGAGCTCGGAACACAATTCATGCCACCGCCGCGTACAGTTGTCTGACGAGAAGTCTGAGTGAGTAATGACGTCGGTTTGCTGCTCCGATTAAGAACTGGATTTTACACGTGGCGCCATCTCATGAATAGAAGTTGAAGTATCTGTCGGAACGCCACAGTTACATCTGGATGTGCAGAGCAGTTGTCTAAAATCTTACACTTTGATGGTAACCCCACACAGTTACAATGCCTTCTAGCCTCTTTAACGAAATGTTTTATGAGCCATTTGGTCACAAGTTGTTTTGTGAACCAAGAATTTTTATTCCTGTAAATCACAGGTTTGGATTTTATTCCTTTCAGACCTCTGAGTTGGATGCTCTTACCTGTTACTACTGGTTATATTTTGTAAGCTTCAGCTGCATACTAAAATAGTAACTCTTCCCGGTGATGTACTTTTTTTTGCTTGTCCCAAATGTCTTTCTCTAGGGAAACATTGGCAAAGAAATCCAGTCTTGTCCATATTAAAAATTTGTTCTGATTTTTTTCTACAATCAGTGCAGAAAATTCATCAATAAGTTCCTCTATAGCATTTGCTGAAAACTTTTCCCCTCAGGCTTTCCTAAAAGCCAGTATACCATAATCTGCTTAAATCTGTTCAGCCATCTGCTGCTGAACTCGCACGCCTCCATTTTTAATTCAGCATGAATCTATTTTCCCTTTTCTCTTATGAGCAGTTCTAAAACCAGTAACCCATCACTCTGCTTTATCTGGAACCACTCACACAAGACAGCATCAAGGTCGGCCAATTTCGTCTTGTGCAAATATTTCCAATTTTAGATTCATCACTGAATCATTGTTGATGTAAAAATTTCAGTTTTTCTTTATTTTTCCGTATATCACGTATAGTCTGTGTCACAATTCCATACAGTTCTACTATAAACTGAAGAGTAGCACTTCCCTCCATCTTTTGCATTACCAATAATGCAATGTGTTTACGTTTTTCAACACTGCAAGCAGTAAAATCATAAAACACATTTCTTACCTGCCAATTAGAAAGGAAGCACTGATATTAAAAATATTTTCATTTCTATCTGCAAAAAATCTGGATAAAATAACAAAACGGCAGCACTAAACAATCTCGTGAAATAACAAAGTTTAAGAAATACAACCACATGAATCATGTCAAGTTGAGTAAAGTCGTTGGCTTCTTTACCTAGACATGGAACATAGGAGGGAAACTTTTACCATCATGTCAATGATTTGGTAAGTATTTCCCATGGACCTTTTAAGAGATAGACTAACCCAGTGGGCGGGGCGCGCGTCACCGACATGTCGGCAAGAAAGAGTAGGGACGATCTGGTTTACTTTAACACTGAAACCTATGGCGTTTCTATCACATATCTCTTTTTAATTATTAAATGTGATACGTTGTAAAATGATGTGATTATGAAAACCACAGTTTTTTCCAAATAGGATTTAATATATTTCATTAAAGCACTTTTTACTGCATTTCGCGCATTTTTTTCACGCGTAATTCTTGTACAAATATCTTTACTTTGGTAAAACGGTAAAAACTCTAAGCGCAAAATTTATGAACTTAATTTAGCGTAAAAATAAATTAACATTAAATAAGATTGATAGTACGTGATGCTTTGAAATAAATAAGGTAAAATGAAACAAGATCTGATAATTTTTTTTTTTTTTTTAATTTAATGAACATTTTCAGGCAGTGATTTTCCAAGCTTTAATAACATTACAAAACGATCATATTCATTTGATTATATGATCATTAAATTATTAACATTAAAGTGGATTAGTTATTTTAATAATTCATAAAATTCGGAGCATAAAAGTTTTTGAGCGTAAAGACGGGGGAAAAAATGATAAAATATAATGTAGAAGCACTCAGATTTTATATTACGCCCAAAAGGAAACTTTTTTTAAAGTTTTGTGTGTAACCTATATTTATTGAATATCATGTTCTTCACCCTTAAACCACATAAATTTGAAAACAGCATATCTTTAGAATTTCCGCACTGGAGATAAAACTGTTATTTTCCATACAGTGCTCGCTCTGAACTCGTTGAGTTTGTTAATCAAAAATTCGTTAAAGTTTTACAAAATGTGAAATAGATGAAGAGAAATTCGAAATTCGGTTGTTCAGATGCCCATGTTCGGGTGGAGGATTACATTATTCAAAATTTGATGGCTCTAGATACCATCGTTTTTGTCACAGTGCAAGAAACATACATGTATTCATGCAGATTTCTTCATTATTTAATTTCTTTACATATAATACAGGGCGATAATATTTAACAACAATTTGCAAGGAGACACGGACACTTACAGTAAAACAGTGCAAAATGCCGCGTCGAAACTAACAGCCTTTCTAGGCTACCGCCGCTGTGGGTTAATAAATGAAATTAACAGTAAATAAAAAAATCTTATGCAGAACTAAAAATAAAATTAAAAAATAATCACTATAAAATACAAGCAAAATTAATTATTACGGTTAAATACAATTTTAATATTAGAATTAAATGTATAAAAATTAAGATGTCAAATGTGCTTATCACTATGATGTATTATGAATTATAATTGAAAAAAATTCCTTTATAGAAATTGTGCTATAATACTCATCTATAATTTTAAAAAAGCAGCACAATTTAGAATTTTAAACAAAACTTTCAAAAATTCGTTTTTAAATATTTTTTACTTATTTACGCCAACAAAAGGTATAAAAATTGCAAGAGAAAATTCTTTGTTAGTTCAGATTTAAAATATTATTTTCTAAAAGTAGTAGTTACAAATTTCCTTACAGCATAGGAAAAGCTAAAAAAATATCCAGCCCTGAAAGCGTGCAATAGCTTTATAATTATTTGGAACGTTAATTATGCTTGATAAATATGCTAAATTTTTAAAAACCAATCTCAATTTCAAAAATAAAAAGATGTAGAAATTATAATTTGTGAAATAAGGCGCTACAACCAGCTTTTTCTTAATAATTATACACGCCGCAATAGGCAACCACTGTTAAATTTCTGCAAGTTGTCCCTACTCCTCCGGATGTGATCAAGGTGACAGCAGGCAACGCCTCAGACGAAGGAGAAAACCTGTTTGAGTTAGTCTATTTCTTATAAGGTCCATGGTATTTCCGTTATGATGTCATTATTTGGAAAGTATTTCCAGTATGACGTCATTATTTGGTATTTGTTTTTTTCTTCAGTATTTTGTTCTCCATGTTATGGTTTTCTGAACTTATAAATTGAATGTTTACATTTTGAGAGGTTGCATGGATTTTAAATCAGCAGATTTTTGGTATTTGACTGTATTAATAAAATCATAAACAGCCCAAATCTTAATAGTAGTGTGGCTGTTACAATAGCACATTATAAAAAATTTATATGTTGTACATGTGAAGCTAGAAATTTAATGAAATGAAACATTTACTGTAAATAAAGTGCATCAAAAGTTTAATAAATGTAGCCAAAAATATAAAGAAAATTATTAGAAATATACAATACTCTCCAGGTAAAACTTTAATTAAATTTAGGTATCTTTAAAGTCTTGTGTATCAAATAAACTAAGCAAATAGGACTTGCAGTAGGAGGTAGATTATATATAACATATGACTTCACAGAAGTGTGCAAATATGAAACTAGATAGCTAGGAGATTTTTAATGTGTTAATGTCAACTGTTATAATGTTGAATGCTGTGCATAATATCTGTGTGAAATTTGTATACCCTACTATACTATTTTTCCTCTCAGAAAGCTGGAAGGAAGAGCTGTATATTGTGCCAGTTTTAGACTAAATTATAGAAAAATAATTTTTAAAAATATTTGCTCAGCTGAGCTTTATAATTTTAATTTTCTCCATCAAGATCATTAAGACAATCAGCTTATACACTGTTTCCATTCTGCTAGAGAAAGCTATTATGTTAATTAAAAAATCGTCTCATTATTTTGTCTATAATATTTTCACTTCTACTTTCATGTTCCATCAGGAATCATCAAATTAGTTAATGTATTTAAGCATAGAGTTCTTGAGTTTGAGAAAAAGAGCATTTGGCAGCTATTACCTCTTCCTGAGACTGAATCAATTAATCTAGCTTTAGCTTTGCTAGCCTTCATGAAAATTTGAAGATCTGAGCCAAAGTCTATAAGGGTACTTTATCTTGTAATGTAATATTTTAATTTTACTTGAATTTTTGTTTCTGAATTTTCATAACTTGGAGAGACTTAGTTTTCTGTTATTATACACGCTGCCATCTAAATCAAAAGTTTTATCTCCAACCTTAATCTGGTTTGGTATTATTTTACTTAGGGATTAAGAGGACATGATTACAGTTCCAGGAAATAACATTCAGATTAGTTTGGATCCTTATAAAATGATTAAGTTTTGAAAATGATAATTCTTTTCACTAATTAGGAGAAATAAAGTGAGCAGATACTTCAAAAGAATTATTTTATTAAATACATTTATTGACATATAAAAAAAGCAAATATTTATTTAGAAGAAATTTATATACATTGATTACAAATATAAATGTCATCCAAGAATGAGTTTAAAGATGATAACCACTGCATTCAGGAAAATAAGAGGAACTGAAAATGAAAAAATAATACGGTATAAAAAATACACACAGATAATAACATAATTTTGTCTGCTTCTGTCTGCACTATGGATGCTTCAAGTATTTGCATATATAATTTTTTAATATATATTTAAAATTTATATTGAAATAAACTTAAAAAAATTTATGGGCATAAACAAGAAAATGCATTTAACATTAAATTTAATTTCAAAAGCTAAACCACATTTTCAATGTTGAATTTTTTTATTTACAAAAATTAGAAATCAAGTTTTTCATTATTTCACAACGTAAAATTTACAGTGGAACCTTGAGCAACATACAATTTTCAAAGGCAACCTTGAAATCATAAAAACTGGGAGATTTTTGTGAAAAATTTGGGAGGTTTTCATGATGCCTGACAACACCATTTGAAAGGAACTCTAAACTGACTTTAACTCTCATTATATGAACTAACTGTAATACAGTCCGGATGTAAAATATATTAATATTTAATTGGATACTCTTAATTTTATATTCTTTGGCTCATTTCATTTTTTAAGTTTCTCATACTTTTATACTCATACTAAGAAAATCTCATGTAGTAAAGGAAAGCTCTAATTTTCCAAAGTACTTTTAAATACAGTCAAAAGTCGTTAATTCGGACACCCATAATCCGGACATCAAAGCTAAAAACTTTCTGCGCATGCGCACAGGCATTTTATGCGTGCGCGTAAGACCTTGACTACTGCGCATATGCGTGTGCGCAAGTGCAGAATACGTTTTCGCCTGCGCGTTTAATGTATAACGGACGGTGTAAGCTAAAATTATCTAATTATCTATTTCAGTTAATGTTAATGATTGCGTTGTTCCTTAATCTTCGAATTGGATCCCGCTTATTATTTTTTGCAGACTGTAAGAGCAATTTTATAAAAGTAAACTTGAACTTTCGATTATGTCAAATAGAATATCCGATGCTGGAACTTCCAAAGGATCTACAAAACGAAAGTATGTCTCGATGTCCAACAAACAAAAAGTGGAATTGCTGCAAAAAATGGATAAAGACATGAAGAATGTGACAGAGAGGTTAGTGAAAACGAAAAAATTTCCATTGACAAGTTAGTCGGTATTCTCGGCACAGCAATTAACAGGACTTGAACAGCGGAATTTTGTAACTGAACAAGAAATTATGTCTTTTTATAGAATTAAAGAGAAAGTATTATCACATAAAATGAAGCAACTTAAACAACTTACATTAAGAGAAATGTTTAATAAAGTAAACAAATAAAGATTAAGCTTTTTTTTTTTTGTAAATTTTGATACCCTTTAGATCATAATTGTTCTTTATTTCATAAATTACGGTTTCATATATTTAATTTTAGAATTTCTGCATGCCATCTTACGAGATTTAAACTGATGATCCATAATCCGGAATCGCCGAAGTCCCGACGAGTGCGGATTAACGACTTTTGACTGTATGATGAAATTAATAATCAATGTACAGAGCATATGTGTGGAATATTAACCAATTAAAAAATTGCTTAAAGGCTTGGGCGTGCAATGAACTGGAAGTTGATCTGTCAGCACTATCCTTATCTTCAGCGCAGATGTTTTTATTTTATTTGGCTTATAATTCCTTACAAATATAGTATTTCATCTCGATATGCTCCGTCTTTGATATGATTTAAAACAAGTTCCTCGTCATTATAATTCGCTTTCAATAGCGAAGAAAGTAACAGAGGTTATTGAAAACGAAAAAATTTCGATTGACAAATTAGTCGGTGTTCTCGACACAGCAATTATAGGACTTGAACAGCGGAACTTTGTAACTGAACAAGAAATTATGTCTGTTTAATAGAATTAAAGAGAAAGTATTATCACATGAAACGAAGCAAAACTTAAACAACTTACATTGAAAGAAATGTTTAATAAAGTAAACAAATAAATATTAAGCTTTTTCTTTTTGCAAATTTTGATACCCTTTAGATCATAATTGTTCTTTATTTCATAAATTACGGTTTCATATTTTTAATTTTAGAATTTCTGCATGCCATCTTACGAGATTTAAACTGATGATCTATAATCCGGAAAAATCGATAATCCGGAATCGCCGAAGTCCCGACGAGTCCGGATTAACGACGTTTGACTGTATTTTTCTCTATGCAAATATTTTAAATTTTATATTAATCAAGATTGCACACAATATTATTTATTTACACTTCAATTCTTACCGTCAGCTCTAGTAGAAGTTATAAATCAATTATATTTAATTAAGGAATGACCATCTAAGTTTAGAAACAGTGTACCGTAACAGCAATTCAATTATTTGCGCAGTATCTTTCATGTTACTCCCAATTGGCAAGCTACGTGATTTTAATGAGTATTCGGGTTTTGCTAGTAACTTCAGTTGGAAATCATGCTTAAACTAAGTTAGTTGGTTATTTGAACATAGAAAGAACATGGCAGCTATTTGATTAAGATGCTTTCATAGAGAACCTTTGTAAAGAGAACCTAGAAAACTACGAAAATCAACCATGCAGCCTGGGTTAGACTTTGCAACAAACAATTAGTACAGTCAAAAGTCGTTAATTCGGACACCCATAATTCGGAATGATCTATAATCCGGACATCAAAACTAAAAACTTTCTGCGCATGCGCCGCGTTGACACATGCGCAGAGGCGTTCACGCGTGCGCGTAAGACCTTTTACGACTGCGCATATGAGTGTGCGCAAGTGCAGAATACGTTTTAGCGTGCGCATTTTATGTATAATGGACGTATATGCTAAAATTATCTAATTATCTATTTCAGTTAATGTTGATGATTGCGTTGTTCCTTAATTTTCGAATTGCATCCGGCTTATTATTTTTTGCAGACTGTAAGAGCAATTTTATAAAGGTAAGTTTAAACTTTCGATTATATCAAATAGAATTTCCGATATATATTTGTTAATATGTAAAGGATCTAAAGCGAAAGTATGTTTTGAAATCCGAAATCTGTTTATCAATTTCACGCTGCTCGGCGGCGGGCGCGTAATGAATTGGAAGTTGATTTGTCAGCACTATCCTTATCTTCAGCGCAGATGTTTTTATTTTATTTGGCTTATAATTCCTTACCAAATGTAGTATTTCATCTCGATATGCTCCGTCTTTGATATGATTTAAAACAAGTTCCTCGTCATTATAATTCGCTTCCGATAGCGAAGAAACGTGACAGAGGTTATTGAAAACAAAAAAATTTCGATTGACAAATTAGTCGGTGTTCTTGACACAGCAATTATAGGACTTGAACGGCGGAACTTTGTAACTGAACAAGAAATTATGTCTGTTTAATAGAATTAAAGAGAAAGTATTATCACATGAAACGAAGCAAAACTTAAACAACTTACATTGAAAGAAATGTTTAATAAAGTAAACAAATAAATATTAAGCTTTTTCTTTTTGCAAATTTTGATACCCTTTAGATCATAATTGTTCTTTATTTCATAAATTACGGTTTCATATTTTTAATTTTAGAATTTCTGCATGCCATTTTACGAGATTTAAACTGATGATCTATAATCCGGAATCGCCGAAGTCCCGACGAGTCCGGATTAACGACTTTTGACTGTATTTAACAATCTTCAAATGCTAGGCAACTGGTAAGGCTCCAATTAAATTTCCAATTTAACATTTTATTTGTAAATATTTAAATTACTGTTGTATTCTTAGACACAAAAAGCAAAATTTAACTTTTGTTAACTCGTTAGTAAACTACTAAGCCGTAGTGCAAATGAATATTCAATTTCTTTTGCAATAATTGTATTCACTTAATATTCTTGGAATATGAGCTAAAGAAAGACGTTCTCGGAAGATTATAAAGAAGTGTTTAAATCCGGTGATATTAGGCCTGTTTTACAAGCTCAGGATAAAAAGGATTCTGCAATTGCCCGAGTAGTTGACTTGTAAATGGCTGTGAATTAAGCAGATGACTTTTAATCTTACATTTTCATTCAGAAAACGTATTCAAAATGTTTTATATTGCATGACAATGCATCTTTTCATTATTCAATAACCAGTCAGAGAACCACTTGTGTTCCGAAAACAAGTATGTGTACTCAATCATCCTGCATGTTCTTCAAATTTGTCTTCTTGTGATTTTTTTTTTCTTTCTAAAAACTAAAGTTGCCTCTCAAAGGAAAGTTTTTTGACATTGAAGAGACAAAAGTAGTACGACATCTACTTTTAGAGGGATGTCAAAAACAGAACTCTACAAGCTTTCTCTTCTATTACATGTTGTGCATCAGACAAAAAGTTGCATCAGCGTAAATTCTATAATCTATTTTTATTACAGTCTGATTACTTAATTAACGTACAAAGAATATATACTAAATCTTTTACTTCAGCTTAAATAATTCGGAATTTTTGACGGAATTGTTGTCGAAACTAGGACTTAGAAGATAAGTCAAATTAAATATTTCAATAACCCAATAAATTCAAGGTCGAATTTCAATATTTTATTTTCGAAGGGAGGGGGAAATTTTTTCAGTTTTGGTAAATTATCCTAAGTATATTTGCTTCGATTTTTTATTTTTCCATAAAAGCGAAAATTTAAGTATGGTATACATATAACGTATAGCTTCAAATGAAAATTTAATAATATACGGAGTGGTTATAATTAAAGTTCCACATTGAAACGGTCATAAAACGAAAACTACTGGATCAAATGTTATCAAACCTGGTAATTGTGTAAAGGAGGTCATAGGAATTTATTTTCCGCGAAAAAAAGGAAGTTCCAAACCTCACCACCATGGGGGAAATGGCGCTGTATGCAATATTTTTAAACGAAATATGGGTCGGAATCTAACTTAACCTTTTGTTACACGGGTTTAATAATATCCCTCAAGATATTTTGAAGTAAGCAAATTACCATTTAAAGGCGTTAAATGCGATAAACGTTGAGTGCGCCATCCGTGTACGTGAGAAATTCATCCGTGAAAACCACAAATTACTGATTAGAAAATGTGAGATCGCAAATCACTCGCACAAGTGCGTAC